CAACTCCCTCTTATCCATTTTCCAAACCCTCATTCCATTCCCCAAAGACCTTGCCATATTCCTTGTCTTTTCTCTTAGAGTTTGGAAATCATAATCAAATGTTGCACGTTAAAGATAAAGACCTCTCCACTATAGACCCATAAACCACCAATACACCGATTATATAGCTGAAACCAAATGATTCCAATATAGACCTACTGAAATACTCGTAACTAGTTGGCAAGCTCTACACCTAGAAAACCATAAGCCGATGTGTGGTTAAAACTATTCTGATAAAGGCCTGGAAGGCAAAAGATCAGGTGGAGATTAGGGATGGAGAGAATGACACCTTCATCTTCTTCTTTTCCAATGAGAGCATGAGGAATAGGGTACTAGAATCGGGGACATGGTCTGTTAAAGGTCAGTTGCTGATACTTCAGATTTGGAGTCCGAATGAGGCAAGCTCAGACCTAAGCTTCAGGTATGGCCCGTTTTGGGTGCAACCCTATGGTTTACCACTGGAGATGATAACAACAGAGAATGCTCTTTGCATTGCTCAGACACTAGGCAAACCAATGGGATATTTGAAGAGTCTTATGCAATGGACAATTTGGAGGAATTATCTCTGAACAAGGGTGATGATGGATCTAACACAGCCTTTAACCATGACCTTTTAGGTACCCAGAATAGGCTTCTCGAGTAAGAAAGTCGAGCTCAAGTATTAACACCTGTGTGATTTCTACTAAAATTATGGGGCGTAATGGCCATGAACAGGCTATTTGTGGGTTCCCTAAGAAAATGGGTCAGGATACACCTTTTGGCCCTTATCTCCGAGCATCCATAAATTGCTCCATGGAAAGGTAGACAACACCAGAAAAGAGAATTATGGCGTGTAGAGAAGATGGCACAGCTACAACGATTGAGGGGATGACAATCTAGAACAGTGAGGACATTGTAGTGGAGAAGGAAATGGGTAGGCAGTGTGAGCACTCGCAACCATCTACTACTAACAAAGGCATATATGGCACCAGGCAAAAAGAACAACTGGAAAATGACGCTGCTAAGGTATTTACGAAACAAAATGACCTAGAAGTGATGAAGGCTCACCTATGCTCACCCCAAAGCCCAACCCAACCAAAAACCCATAAAAGCTTAGATAAAGAATTCCCATTAGACCAAAGCCAACCAATAGCTGACCAAACCCAAATCACTAAACTCCGTCCTCCCCAAAGTCCAGCCCAACCAAAAACCCATAAGAGCTCAGATGAAGCTTTTCCAATGGACCAAAGCTAACCAAAACCAATCCACAAAACTCTACTCACCCCAAAGCCCAACCCAACCAAAAACCCATAAGAGCCCATGTGAGGCCTCCCCACTAGACCAAAGTCGACCAAACCCAAAACCAAACCACCCAAAAAATACCCAGAAATAACAACACAAACCAAATGCAGGAAGAAAACCTCCCCCTCATCAAAAGCCAAGGACCAAAAAACTCAGTTGAGGAGCCTAGTGGGAAAATTAACACTTTTAACACTGAGACTTCCATTTTACCTCCATACTCACACGCCACAAAGCAATGCAACCAGACCAATCTACCAATTTTGCCACATATCCCAACTGGATCCCACAACAGAAGAAATCTTACTTTGAGGGAAGTGAGCTCAGTCCTTGTCTCAGACCCTGAGATATTGGTGGACCATTGCATATCATATGTTTTTCAGGGGCTATCTATCAAACGATCCATCATATTTAGAATAGTTTGAAGGCAGATCTAGAAAGGTGTATTGGAGGGATGATGGGATGCTGGCTTTTATACCAATAGGACCAAGGACTATTGAAGATGGCCAAGTAGAGATAGAAATTACACACCCAACTGAAAATGTAGTGGAACAAGCCTTCCCAGAAGAAGAGAGAGGAATGGTTAAACAGACTCAAACTCTCATAAGGAGGACAGTCCAGAGTTTCAAAAGAAGTAAAGAAATCAGGAAGATAGAGGGTGATAGTGAAATCAGGATGTAATGGAATGAGGAGATCACAAGTACGGTTGAGGAGGCGGGCCTTACCATGCCCCCACGCCCCCAATGATAACAGTCACATGGAACTATCAAGGATTAGGGGCTCCCTTGATAGTTCCAGCTTTAAAGGACCTATGTGTCCAAAGAAAGCCCCAACTAGTATGTCTTAGTGAAACCAACATGAGGGAGAATCGAATTGAAAAAGTAAGGAGAGAGTTAAATTTTGATAGAAAATTTGTTGTGGAACCAGTGGGTTTAGCTGGTGGTATGTGTATTTTTTGGAAGAAGGAAATAGAGTTGAATATGGAAGGATATAATCAAAACCAAATTGACATCACTGTGCGAGGACAAAATATAGCTAACCTATGACATTTGAGCTTTATATACGGTAACCCAAATTATGAGGAAAGGAGAGAGCAGTGGAGAAGATTGAGTGCTTATGGGAGGGCTATGGAAATGCCTTGGTTATGTCTAGGGGATTTTAATGAAATTGCAGCTAATCACGAAAAGGAAGGGCGTAGGGAGAGAGAGGGGTACAAATTGAAGACTTGTAGAACCTTTCTTGATGAAAGTCACTTGATTGACTTGGAAAGCAAAGAATGCAAGTTTACGTGGGACAATCATAGAGTAGGGGATACTAATGTCAGGGAGAAACTAGATAGAGCACTGATCTCGTGTACCTCGAGGATGATGTTCCCTAATGCAGAGGCTATAGTCCCTCCGACGGTGGGATCTGATCATTCACCACTTGTAATTGACCTATAACCGAAAAGTGATGAGCACATAATATTGCTTATTTAACGGCCTCATTACATGCATTTTAACTAAACTTTGCTTTTAATTACTTAGAGTTAGTCAAGTTTATGAATAATGTTGAAATCTTGTGGTCGTAGGTAATATAGCGTAAATGATGGATTTCGGAACCCTACAACTAAGTGTGGATGAGTGGTGAAGAGATGGACACATTACATGAGGATTGGAATGAAGGTGAAGAAACTAAGAGAAATGCAATTTGGATGAAAATCATCCGGAAGGTCTAGCCCACTATTTTTCCCATTTTGACATAGTACCTCTGTTTTTCCCATGTTTGACCATGATCCACTTCGAATCTAAAAGAGTGTAAAACATAACAGTTGTAGATCTGGATGTCCTCTATATTGTGTCAAACTTTCAGCTCAATCAGATGGTTGGATAAAACATTATGACAATTTTGCAAAAAATTAGTCCTGAGCTGGCACCTTCTAGAAGACCTTCTGGAAGGTTTAACCTACTGGAATGAACCCTTTCGGAAGGTTTGCATCGACCTTTTGAAAGGTTTTGCCCAGAATACCCAAACATCCTGCAACTCATGCCCCACTTGCTTAGGGGTCCCACCTTTGATTCTCCCACTTGTCATTTGAGATCCCTTACTCACATACATGCCTCCTCACACAAAGGGGTGGACTTTGGAGGCCATTGCATTTATGAGGATGGAGAGAAGGGGGAGCCGGGGGGGTTGCTGGGTAGGCTTGTCCTAGCCTGCAAACTTACCTCCTATTGATGGGAGGCCTGCACACAGGCTGTGGGAGCCTTATGGATGAAATTTGAAGTCTCTCACACACCATATATTCATTATTCACACAAGCTCTAAGAGGAGAAAGAAGCTACCTAAGCTTAGGAGTAGTTTTTAGTGAGAGAAGTGAGATTTCTGCATTTTCCTTTACTATTTTCATTTGTAATCTTCTTGAATACTCTTGTAAGCTTCATTTTATTACCTTTAATGTCATTTATTACAAGTGCATTGCAAGTTTAGTTCTACATTTTGGATTTCACCATTGTTGTATTAAGTTTTCTTCATTTCAAGTTTTTAAAATGGGTATTGAATGTTTTTCTTCATAGTTTAAGTTTCTTGCATTAAGTTAAGCTCCAATCTTTATTTCTTCATTATGTCTCTTTACATTATGCATGTCCATCCTTTTATTATGAGTAGCTAAGCTTTAAGTTAGCTAATCCAAGGGAGAACTCCTCTTGGGTATGCTATTTCAACTCATTTTCTTTCCTCCTCGTAGTGTACGCTGATTTGCTTTGACTAGGTTGAGTGTGGACATAGTTGTAATTTATTGATACAACGTAGACCTGTCACGGTGTATGCTTGAATCCTCACCTCCATTTAGTCCCGGGCTTCCTATGAATCAATCAGACATCAAGACACCTAGACACTATTAGAGGAAGGTCTTGAGTTGATTCGGCAATCCATTGGAGTGACCTCTTTGGATTAGCCAACACTTGGTTCCATTTTCATTTCATCAAAAACACAATCACTAAAACTCAAACTCAAAGATTTTTACACTTTTCCTTTTTCACCAAAATCACCTTCAACATAATTCACCTTTCTTATTTGAGGAGACGACATTGGAATACAAATTCCAAGTAAAACACGACATTGCAAGATCTCTCTATGCTTGGGGAGCAATTTTGCACACACACATTTTGTTCATTCTACACACACCCATTTTCCCCTTTTCTAGCATCATTCCGAGGGAGAGTGACACTCCTCTACACACAAAAGACACATACACATTTGAGGTGTGTGTGGAGATTAGGGAAAACGAAATAAACCAAGCAAGAAGGGATAGGCTAAGAAGGTACTTTAAATTTGAAGCGTACTAGGTGGATGAGGAACAATGTACAGAGATTATCAAGCATAACTTGGAAAAGATATAGAAGCGGTCTAGGATGTATAAGCTGCAATAAAAATTGAGGGAGTGTGGGAAGGATTTAAGGGCATGGAGTTCCAACTATTTCCGAACAACACAAAGACAATTCAAAAATCCTAAAAGCCAGATTGATGGACTTGCCAAGCCAAAGCTATCCTAATGTCCAACAGGAAAGAGATTTAAAGACTCAAAGAGAACTGAGAATTGCAGGATAGAAGAGAGAGGACAAGGTACGGGGGCAAAGGTCAAGGTTGAAATGGATTAAGTGGGGTGACTTAAATACAAATTTTTTTTATACGACCACCTCCAGAGGAGGCAGAGAAATCGAATTGAAATGCTAAAAGATCCAGACGGGAACTGGGTGAATGACAAAGAGAGCATAATAGCACAGTATATGAGCATTACCAGAATACCTACAGGACTAAAGGTGAGAGAAGCTATGCATAGAGTTCTGCAACAAATTCCCCCGAAGGCTACAACACAAATGAATAGGGAACTCCTACAACAACCATCAATGGAGGAGGTCAGAAAAGCAGCTTTCAACATGGGATCCCAAAAATGCACTATGACTAGATGGAATATCACGTATCTTCTATCAAAAATACTGGAATACTATAAAGAATGAGGTATTCCATGTTGTCCATTCTTTTTTCTAGAAGGGTTCTTGCTTAAGGAACTGAATGAAACACACACCAAACCCTAATACAAAAGTCACAAATCCAGAAACAATAAGGGAGTTCAGACCTATAAGT